GGTTAGTAAACAGCAGCAGATATATTTAACAAGTTCTGCCATCATCCTCACTATCTGCTGTCTTCGCTGGCAGGAAAAATTCAGCCTCCGAGGAAGAACTGCGGTGATTTTATTTGTGATTTCATCTTCACACATTTGGTCATAGCTCAAAGAGGTGGCCAAACAGGTTGATGACTGTTACCTCTTCCATCTGGCTGAAGATATTTTAGAAACTTTTACTGTATGGCTGAACATCTCACAGCCCAGATGGTTAGACGCACACCTTGCTGAAAACCGGTTTTCATTATCCTATCACTTTGCAATGATTTATACCAATGAAATTGCAGACATTCTCAACGACTATGTCCACTTTAAACATGCCATCATTTAATTCACAATCTTAGGCAGAGCAAAATCTCCAAGGAAGGCGAAAATTTCTTCGACATAACTATCATTATAATGATTGAGTTTTGCGTCCAGGTACTACAGCTATTATTAAATATAATTCCGAGGTTTACTTACGAGGGCAACAAACGGTGTAAACAGGAGAAGCGAAAAGTACTGCTATAATAGTCTGCGTTGTTCTGAATGTATTCCGTCTTAATCATTCGTGTCTGTTCTGTCTAAACCGGGCAGTGACTGCAGTATCGTTTGAAATGTTTTGTACAAATAAGCTTTTGATAACATCCCACCGACAATTTGTGTTGTAGCCAATCTTTTGCTGATGCGAAACGAAAATATGGACCGTCAGGTCGTATCTGAATTTTCAACGTATTAATTTCTCGCATCTTCTAATTATTGATCAAATCAACATTAATAGTTGAATCATGTTGAAGCATGGTGTTATGATTTTCATAATAGTATCTCATTCAAAGACATTAATTTTGTTTTTCAATCCGTATTGTTGAATGAATCATCCTTAAAAACATACACGGTCGTTAAGATATTTACGTTACAAAAACTGAATCGCCCATCGTTTGCCATCAACTCAGTTCGGAATCAATTATTCGTGCAATCAAAATTTAATTTCGTTACATTCAAAAAAACGAGTAAAATAACGGTTAAAAGTTTTGATATAAAACCAATTTCAAATGATTTTATATAACATGTTACCCATTTTTTCGATCTACCGAAACCAGATTTCCATTGTATCAAGCTCTGATTCACACAAGAATAACAAGTGAATAAAATATCTGATTCCATGGTCTGCAACAAACGAATGATCAGAATCATTGTTGAACAACACATCCTCATCGGCCAACATCAAAAGGGTATTAGAAATATATCAAAAAGGACAAAAATTGCGACCAGTCAAACTCCAGTCGTCAGGATGAATTCTAAACAACTACTCTTCTACAAGTCATATGAAAAGAAGGTAAAAATGAAATGAAGAAAACCTGCAAAACTATATATCAGTTAGCACACTTAATTATGTCTAAGAAATGTCATAACAAAAACGCTACTACGGACTAGTTCTGCTAAACTGAGAAACTGTGATGTAAGAACATGATATCATAAAAACAGTAATTAATAGTCTGACAGAATTTAGGACGCACATAACTTTGATGCTTTGGACCAACTTGATCAACAGAATAGCTGTTGCTTATATGGCTACGGAGTGTGCTTACAGATTGCTTAATCATATTTACAACCAACCCAAAAAGGTAAGTGAAAGGATGAATAAAAGTACCCAAAACAAGTACTTAACTGAAACAGAAAAAGTAAATCTTAAAAAAAAATCAAGAAGTTCCGGTTTAGAGCTAAACCTAATAATCAGGATGGCTTCACAGTTCAGTTGCAGACTGCTTAATAATATTTACGACCAACTCAAAAAAAGGCAAACGGAACTGTGAAAGACAGTACCAAGAACAAGGACTCATGCAGAACTAGAAATGAATGAACAGTTGTTTCGAAGCTCAGTTCAAATAATCAGGCCGAAATCATTAAAAAACGACAATAGGGCGAAATACAGTTAACCCGAACCGCTGTGAACTAAAGCAGAGCTGAGCCTGCAAACTAAGCTCTTGGTATTCAAGTTGATCCTTATCCCCAAGCTTACATACGGTCATGAGTCTTGGACCATGACTGAAGGGCTTCGAACCCGGATATATCTGCTGAAATGTGCTTTCCTAGACGAGTCGCTGGCCGCGTCTCGTCATGACGCCGAACACTGAAATCCGGGAGATTCTTGATGTACAGCCTTTGCTTATCTAGACTGAGAAGTCACAGCTGCGATGGTTTGGCCATGTGATGCGAATGCCTCCAGAAAGGAAGGCGAAGCAACTGTTTCTTGCCCAATCGACCGGCAGAAGGTCCAGGGGACAGCCAAGAT